TTATTATTATTCTTATTACTATTATGGTTGTTGTTGTTATTGTTATTAGTATTTTTTTTGTTATTATTATATTACACGGAGTACTTACAATTAAAATTATAGAAATCAATATTATAATTATAATTAAAATTAAAATTATAGAAATAATTATAACTAAAAATATAATTACAATTATAATTATAGCTTTTTTTTGTTTACCTTAGGAGACGTCTGGGGGAGGGGGTCTGGGGGGCCTTGAAGTAAACTAGGTTGAAACTCACTCCATTGAGTTTCGAACCCGAGACCTCCCATAAGGGAGAGTGAGTCGGCGACCAGCTGAGCTGGACCGCTTCCTCTAATTATAGCTATATTTATAACTAGTGTAATACGTATAATAATAATCATACCTATTATAATTATTGTAATTATAATTATAATTTTTTTATAATTAAGATTATAATTATATTTAAATTATATATGTGTAATTACATTTCTAATTATTATAATAAAAATTAAAATTATAAATATAATTTTAGAAATATTTAAATCAGACCAGATCAGAAGGATTCGGATCAGATCAGAAGGATTCAGATCAGATCAGGAACATTCAGATCAGATCAGGAACATTCAGATCAGATCAGGAACATTCAGATCAGATCAGGAACATTCAGATCAGATCAGGGACATTCAGATCAGATCAGACCAGATCAGAAAGATTCAGATCAGATCAGAAACATTCAGATCAGATCAGATCAGAACTTAAAAAATTCAGATCAGAAATATTCAGAACAGGTGAAGAGAACATCTTCTAAGGGAGTGTTTGCAATTGCTTCAACTTTAAAAAAGTGATTTTTTAAAGTGATTTTGGGAAAAGTGATTAATAGTAAAAGTTGGTAGTGTTTGAGAAAAAAGTGATTCTGAAAAAGTAAAAGTTGGTAGTGTTTGGTAAAATAAGTATTTTTTGTGTAATAGAAAAAGTGAAAAGCAGTTTAAAGCACCCTTCCACCTGCTTCCAGCTTTTAGCTTTTAAGTGATTAATTTAAGCAGAAGCTGTCATTTGAAAACACTCTTTTTAACTTTTTTAAAGCCAAAAGCTGAAAAATACTTTTCTTAAGCAACCGCAAACACTGCTTAAGTCTGAATGTATGGTCGGCGCGGAAGATGCATATCTCGAAGTTTTCATTATTCATTCCCCAAATAGTGAAACCAGAAAAGTTTATGCCTAACATGAAACACAGTGGCCCATGTTTCTGCATATTGAAATAAGAGTTACGTCACATATACCTAATTTATTTGCACCTTATTTGTTATCAAAATTGAATCGTGGGATAAATTTATTCAGTTTTGGGCAATACTATGACTATGTTTGGCACAACTAGCTAAAAAGATACTTTTGTGAGCTTTTCCGTAACTGTTAGCTTTTAGTGATTGAAAAGATCTTAAAAAGAAAATGTGGTAGTTGTTTGGTAAAAAGCTGACTGTTTGATTTAGTTCCGTTTGGTATACAAGCTGTTTGGATTAATTAATGCTAAAAGCTTCAAACTTTTCTCAGATGCTACTCCCCGTAGCATCTCAAAAAAGATCTTTTTTTGAAAAGCTGTTAAATATTGTCATGCCAAACATACAACTAGAAACTTTTAGAGACTTTTTAAATAGTAGAAAAGCTCGAAGGCAGACACTTTTGCCCGCCAAACATAGCCAAAGACATTTTTAAAACAAAAATGATATTTGTATCCATTCTTATACCCACTTTTATATCCTCATGTTTGTGAAGGCTTTGTTTGTCTGTCAATTCTATTCATAGACAAATTTTGTAGACAAAATAATACAAGCATTGTTGATGTTTGTTTTTAAAACTAACGTTGTGGAGTATACACAAAGGTTTTTAGTGGTAGTGCTGCCAAATAATACTCACCAGTCACAGTGCATGATTGAGAGGCTTCTTAAAACCAGAACATAACACTTTCATATACAAAGTACTTGTCATATACCCATATTTGAAATCATGTTATTACAGTTGAAATCATAGCAATTTCAAATCAAATTAGCATTTGTTGAACAAAATTAAATGTGCGAAAATGAGATCAATAATAGTTGGAGGATGAAGAAAAAATACTTGAACGACATCGATGATGACGATAGCGTAGAATGGTGACACTGGCAGGGACATCAACATAGGATGTTCGCAACGCAAGGGTGATCATATCGAGCCCGTTTGGTAGCACCAAAATCGGCTGTTTTGGCTGATTCTGCTGAAATTTATGATATTCTGGCTGGAGTGGCTGTTTTGGCTGATTCTGCTGATTTAAGAAAAAAATATTTTAAAAATATATTTTATTAATAAATTAAAGAAAAAATTATATGTAAAAATAGCTAAAATGGTCCTCTACAGTAACTTCAGCCAATACAGCCAGAAAAGTAACTCTAACCTTACTTTTTCGGCTTATTACACAATTCAGCGTGCGAAAGTAAAAGTTACGTGTTTGGTGAAAAAGCTGGCTGATAAGCCTAATAAGCCGAAAACAGAGTTCTCCAAACGGGCTCATCATATATTTGAGCTTGAAATGCACCCAACATGTTCCTTATTATCAGCTTCTTTCATTGGGGTGAAGCATTATATTGCCTGCTGCATGTCAACCAACACATGCTTATGTGTGGAAGGAACCTTCAATTCATAATTTTTTTTTACCCCGGAAGGCAAACCACCCATCGGTGGGGTAAATGCCGGGGAGCATTTACCAAGATTTTATTAAGAATAAAAACCGCATACAAAAGAGAGGGGGACCAAACCAAAACCTCCCGACAATTAAGGAATACATCTGAAAGAGGGAATGCCAAAAAAATCAAGATAAAAAGCCTTTCTAATAATAGGAGGAAAGGAAATAACAGACTTGTAAAACTTAAATGATGCGGCTTACATTATAAATGCCAATTAAATATTTATTTCCCTTTAAAAAAATGCTAGATTAAATCATGATATTATAGTAGATTTTGTCATATGCCCGAGGTGCATTTATCCCATTTTTGTGTGGATGGTATACTCTATTCAGACATGATTACTCATTTATTTATTTGATTTGTCATATTTGATAGCTATAGGTTGTGTGATTTTTTGGAGTAGTGGAGTGTAACACTTGAGATTTAATATAAACGGATTAATAGTACTACTCATACCAACAGAGGTGCATCTCCTTTTAAGGGAGCTCATCACCCAAGAACTCCAAAGTTAAGCGTGCTTGCACGGGAGTAGTCTTGGGATGGGTGACCCCCTGGGAAGTTTCTCAGGGCGCGCATGAGTGAGGACAAAGTGCGCGGTAAAGGCTCGTGGTGGTTTGTGGGGATAGTACTATTGGTCCGGAGTAACTACCTCGGGTCCGGTGGGGCCGGGGTGTTACAGGTGGTATCAGAGCAACCCCGCGACAGTGTGATGACCCGTTGGATATCGGGCGTGCACTTAGCGGGGGAAGATTCTGGGATTTGATTGAGATTTGAGATTGGTTCAAGGGCGCAACGAGGACGTTGCGATCCTAAGTGGGGGTGATTGTAACACTTGAGATTTAATATAAACGGATTAATAGTACTACTCATACCAACAGAGGTGCATCTCCTTTTAAGGGAGCTCATCAACCAAGAACTCCAAAGTTAAGCGTGCTTGCACGGGAGTAGTCTTGGGATGGGTGACCCCCTGGGAAGTTTCTCAGGGCGCGCATGAGTGAGGACAAAGTGCGCGGTAAAGGCTCGTGGTGGTTTGTGGGGATAGTACTATTGGTCCGGAGCAACTACCTCGGGTCCGGTGGGGCCGGGGTGTTACATGGAGGGAAAGGGTGGGTTAGATTTTCCTTTCTTGTTTACTTGATTACTAGATTTACTTGATTACTTGATTTTGTCATATATATATTTTTCTTGTTTACTTGATGATTTTTTCTTTTCAGTCTTATACATAGTACATAGGACAAAAAAAGTACTTGAATATGTTCACATAATTTATCATTTCAGGTTAGGAAAGTTGATAACTGATGGGGTCAATGTTCTCCGCTTTCAAAAGGTAAAGATGAATTAGTATTGGATGGGAATGACATTGAACTTGTGTCTCGATCATGTGCCCTTATCAACCGAGTAACTCATTGATCGCTTCATTTATATTTGTTTGGTCAGTTAATCGTTTGTTTAGTGTATTTATATAACTGAAGAAGGGGCCTTAGCGCACTAGTTAATGTGTTACTGTGTGACCTAGAGGTCACAAGTTCAAATTTTAGGAGCGACCACTTCTCAAAGGGAAAAGGGAAGACTACTTATCCTCTCTACACCCTTGTGACGGGGCACTTCCGATCCCCGGACCATCGCTTTGCGGGGGCACTATCGGGTTGCCCCTTTTTAGTACTATATATGTTTCCTTTTTCAGAAACATATATGTATATATGACTGCCAAACTCTACCTTAAAATGATTCCTTTTTGAGAAATACCATGTCAAGAAAAAGGATATCATGAAGTTCCTTGATGGTGTATATGTGATATGTCAGTGACAAGGGAAAAATTGTTGAAGAGGAGTAGTTAGCTAGTTTGAGAGGATATATAGCATCAAAGATTAATTGTTCATTACTGTTTATTTCACCCTTAATTTTGAAACAAGTTTGAAGCATTTTTTTTAAGTTCATTTGTTATTGCTGGCATAGGTATATTCCTACTAATCTATACGATAGTATTTTTCTTGCTGTATGATTGCAAGTGTTTTTCATTGAGAACTATCAGATCACATTAAAAGGGAATTTCCCTCCTGCCTCAACATCAGATCAGTTGATCTTGCGGTTATTTGGAAATGGTTGTCATGTTTATGGTTATAAACACATAGGAGATTTCATCTCCACCAAACAAATATCTAGAATTTTGAAGAGTATTCTTAATTCATGGATTCACGCGACTCAATTTATGTAGCCCGTATAATTACAACTGACATAACTACAATGAGGAAGGCCTCCCATTTTTCCCTATAAAACCTCTTCCACCCCCATTCTTTCAAACTAGCCTCGAAAATAACAAAGTTTCTTCCAAAGAAAACTTACTAATAACAAATAAGGTTTCTACCCTCAGAAAGGCCTTTTAGTGTTGTTGTTTCACACCCGTTCATCGTTTGTCTCGCCTGCTCCTCTCGTTACTCGTCCGAAAGAGATAAGTAAACATGGGAGCCTGTGCGAGCAAACCTAAGGATTTGGACACACAAGAGGCCCCTATCCCCGAGGCCCCTCTTTCCCCCCAAAAAACTGATATCCACGCTGCTCCCGAGGTAACAAGTTATCTTGGTACTTCCATTTTCATTTGTCCCACATTTTCCTTTGGGGTTTTTACAAACATATTACTAAAGTAATACTTAATTATATATACATAAATATGGCTATTAGTTATTACAATGTAGTGTTATAGTAACTTAAGTTTAAAAAATGAACATAAGTTACTATGATTTCATTATTAACTAATCACATTTTTGTAAACAATCTTCATTTTAGTCATATATATATACGGGGATTTTTTTCCCCTTTTATGGCAAAGAGTTCCTAAGTTATAATATTTCTCTCAATTACATCGCTTTCACATTTTTAATCTACATGAAAACTTCGAAAATGAGATAATATTGGGATAGAGAGTAATAACTATTTGACGAAAATAGTTTTTTTCTATTCTCTTTGCATGTCATCAAATAATTGTATTTAATAATATAGTAATATGCTACATACATACGATAGTATTAAATTGGAGGGAAAATAGATGCAGGAGAATAAGGAGGATGGAGAAGAGACAAAGAAGGAAGAAACATTGGTAGATCTAACAGAGCCAGCTCAAGAAGCACCTAAGGCAGAGGAAGCGGCGGTGGAGACCGAGACCCGAAAGGCCGAAGCTGTGTTAGGCGAGACCACCTCGACAGCTGCGGTTGTGGAAAAAGTTTCCATCGAGGAAGATAATAAGGCTAAAAAGGTTGGCGATGAAGATGAGAAGAAGAAGGAAGAAGTAGTAGCTGTTGCTGATGAAGTTGTTGTTGCCTCTCCTGCTATTGCTGCCGTGACGGAGGTTAAAACTGAAACACCTGTCACTGCCTAAGTGTCATTGTAGAACGTTAACAACCAGTGGATAGTTTCACTTATGTTGTTGTATTCCATTTTATTATGTTAATATGTTTGAGGCTCAATGTAACAATAACCCAAAAAAATGAAAAATTAAGGGGAAATCCCAAAATTAACCCATTTGTGGATCTTTTTTTTCTTCATGTTTAGGATGTGTGGATGATGTATTGCTTATTTTACTATTTATTGTTGATAAACTCAAAAAAGTACACATTCAAAAAATGATTTTAATAATATTAAAAAAACCTTAATTTTTTTTTATTTACCAATCACGGAGTACCATTTATAGTCATAGGATCGGACTCGTAACCCGGGTAGTAGGGGTTTTTTCCCTTTTTAAACGGACCGACATTATATTTTCGTTTTCAACGAGTTTTCCTATTCAAAAAAACCGTACGTGTTTAAAACGCGTTTAAAATGCAAAACAAAGCTAACTAGGTGAGTGTATACAACATACTATTTGCCATTGGTAGATTCTATGGTACCATTAGGTATCATACCTTTGTCCACATGGACCAATCAGAATGATGCAGTTGAATTATTTAAGCCTAAATTAAAAATGATATACTTATTTGGTCCAATCAAATGAATGGTAGGTATGATACCTCATTTTTTAAATGGGTACCGGAGTTGTCACCTTGATATTATTCTTGTGGGTAAATCTTGAGAAGCTGTAAACAAAAATGTGTATTTAAGAGGTCAATTTAACATCTTGGGCCTCTAAGCTAACCCCAACCAGCTAAGTCTGATGCAGTTTATTGTAGATTTAGCAACACTTATATGTAGAGTACGAGAGTAAACCTAAGATAAAATTAGAGTATTTGATTGCAAAAGAATAGACTGGTCTCTAACTCTCTTTCACTACACATTCCTTGAAGTTTTGTCTCTTCTACATCATGCAAATCCATCCTTACTAAATCAGATGGGCTAGTAGTAGCACTTGTGAGGTTGAAGAAGAATATGAAAAATTGCTTGCAGTCTTTGGTTTTTTGTTAAAATCAAGAGCAGGATTGGAGAAAAAATAATTGTTCAATCAATTCTTTCTTTCATTTTTAACACCATTCATTTTAAAAATAGAGCTCTATTTCAAGCAGCTCTTTATGAGTCATATCCCATGAAAATAAGCTCGTTTTCATGTGCTGAAACAGAGTTAGTAGAAAGTAAAAAAATGGTAATTTAGCTAAAATTATCACTTGTAATGGTTGAGTGTCTCCTTTTTGTTCACTCATTTTTTTTGTACTTCCATATAATTTATTTAATATGATCTATACTCAACGTCGTTGATGCTCAGCTTTTGAATGATTATACATCCACACAGGAGGTGCATTCTTATTATGATAAAAAAGGTCATGGAGGTCAATTCTCATGTGGAAGAAGTGCTTTTTTGTGATTGACAAAAAATTGTAGTATACAGTACAAAGAACGTGTTATTTCAGAAAAATTGTTTTCTCATGCTTATAGAAATGCAATGTATTTATTTACTTTGTCTCTTTTGTCGCATATTTCCATGCATCATTTACGATGGAGCTCAGCCAAAGATTCACTATTTTTTTCTTGAAAATATGATAGAATGAAGCAAAATGTTTCACTAAATTGCATGTGTATCTTTGTTATGAAGTAACAGTCAGTTCATTCAAGATCTATATTGAGTCCATTTATAGTTTGTGCTAGTCATGATCGAACTTACAAAGTTACAAGCCGAGTATCAGACGGGATAGTAGCACTAGTGAGGTTGAAGAAGAATATAAAAAATTGCTTGCAGTCTTTTCTTTTTTGTTAAATTCAAGAGCATGATTGTTGTAAAAATAATTTTTCAATCAATACTTTCTTTCAATTAAGTGGAATTTTTTAACACCATTCATTTTACTTGCCTTAACATTGTTCTGGATGATTGGATCTTTATTTTAATTTAGTCTCATTTTATTAGAAATGACGTATATATGTCCTTAGGCTACATTTAAAAATAGATCAGAGCTATATTTCAAGTTTCTCTCTATGAGAGTCATATCCCATGAAAATAAGCTCGTTTTCATTTGCTCAAACAGCAGAGCCGTCTAATGAATTTGGAGACCCTGTTCCAAACGTAAAATCGAGGCCCCATATTTATATAAAAAATTAAAAAATCTCAATCTAAATACCTATATTGAAATCAATTGAATACTTATCAAATAATGTAATAAAAATTCTTATTATCACTTAATATTTGATTTAAAGCAACAAACTCATCACTCAATCAATTTGAATAAAGCAAAGTAAAAGGACTGACAAAAAATTTTATTTAATTGACTAGTAATAATATACTATCGTATATTATTACTACTAGTATGTAATACTAATATTTTTTTAAGGCTTAAATACATTTTTAGTCCCTTTAAATATGACACATTTTGTTTCAAGTCCCTGCAAAATATTTTTCTTGTTTTCATCCCTGCAATATGGACTATTTTGTTTTTAGCCCAACTCTGATTCTAAAACTACTCTACTTACAAAAAACGTTACTGACAATTACGTACATCTACTAGAAATATTTAAATTTGTCCTTTTATAATTTTTTTAGGCTAATATAAGAGTTAAAACAATTTAAAACAATCATTTTAGAAAACAATTAGTAGACTTTTCCTTTATTTTTTATTTTTTGAAATTTTATATTTTTATATAAAGTATACTAATTATCTAAAAAAATCATTTCAGATAACAAATTTATACTTTTTACAATTTTTGCCAAATTATTTTGGCAATTTTTTCCCCCACATTTAATCTCTTCCATTTCGAGTTTTGTATTTAAAAAATCTTTATACATTGTTTTATACACTTTTTTGATTTATTTAAAATCAGTTTTCTCTTTTACTAATTTCTTTTCTAAATTTAAGCCACAAAGGTTTTAATTTTGATTGCTTAATGCATTTTGTTGGACACGTACATTAAAATGAGTAAATGAACAAAAGTGGCTAGCTATTTGATAAAAAAACGCACGCTCGAAATTTGTTGTAAGGGATATTTCTGAAAAGAAAAGTGTAACTTAGTTTATTATTGAACGAAACTTTGAAAAATGAAAAAAGTGATATTAGAGTATCATTTTCCTTGATGAGCTTATTTGTGAAAAATGTTCTAAAGTACACATAGATCAAATTTATACAAATGAGATCAGACTCAATTTCAATAGTCTTAAGGTACACATTGATTGATTAGACATCTACCACAGAATTCCAGACCAAATTAGAGTTAAGGTGACATGATCGAACCAGACAAAACTAGACTGGAATGTTTTAGTTCAATTAGAAATATGGTAATCATTTGTTTCTCCTATATATTGCAACTGAGGGCTTCGAACTAGAGGTCTAAGAGGCGGTGGTGAGATAAGTGATTATGGGGGTGTTTCTTTTGTTATTGATTTTGACTGTTCCAAACAGTTACTTTAGGTATTTGGAAAAATTCATATGAATAATCTCAACTATTAACCATCTTCCAATATTAATCCCAAATATGTATAATTCTAAAATAATCTGAATTATAATAGGCATCTTCTCAGAATGAACCGATGACCTACATAAACCCATTCAGCAGGTAAATAGGACACATGGCCTTTTTCTATTGGTTTTCTTTTCTTTTTCTTTTTTTATTTTTTTCCTTTTCATTTCAATTTTTCTTTCATCTTCCTTTCCTTTTCGGGCGTTCGAGTGTTCGGGTGAACCATGTGAGTGGAGACGTCGGCGGTCGACCTGTCCCTGTTCCAGCGTCGCCACCCAGCCAACCAGGTAAGATAAGCAACCCTCAGTCGTCTGTCCCATGCATCTTCAGTGTCCTTCCATCTTATCAGATCATCACCACACATCAGCCCTCCGTCGTTCCCATCTGTTCATCGCCACCACGCGCCTGTTCATATCAACTGGCATAATCTCCATCTTTAACCTTCTGTCATTCTAGGTTGGTCATCGAACGTGATGAATATTGCATAGTGTCAAATTAGATTTTGATTGACCAGATCAAATCATTAAAATGTGAAATTGAAAGAGTGACATACAAATTTGAGGAGCAAATTTGAGAATGAAATCGAAGGTGAGTAGAAATTCATGTGGGTGGAGGAAGAAAGAAAGAAAAATTGAAGGCCAAGACACGAAAGAAGGAAGCAAGGAACCTGGAGAAAATAGAGCAAGTGAAGATGAATAGCCTGGTGCCCATTTATCTTTCTTTTAATTTTTTTTACTGGTTGTCTAAGTTGTAGATAACTAGGATCAACTATGGAAGGTTGTCAATAAATTTCAGATTATTCTAGGATTATGGATAGTTGGGATTAATATTGGAAGACTACTAATAGTTGAGATTATTCATGTGAATTTTTCCTAGGTATTTTGGTGAACAATTTTTTGATTTGGTAATTTACTACGAAAAATGCTTGAGGTACACAAAATGTGTACACATGTCTGTCCTTCACAGACAACTAATTTTGAGTTGTCTGTGACAGACAAAATTTCTATGAAGGACAGATATGTGTACACATTTTGTGTACACCTAGCAAAACTCTTCAGTCTAAATAGTTTTTTCACACCGGGCCTTTTGATCTTTTAATAAAACTAAAAACTTACAAATGTGAATGAGGGTAATGGCCATTTGGAAATATAAAATGTGTTGGTGTAACATTCAAGCATTATCTAATTGTTCAGGACCTTAGGTTGAACTTTACATTGTTGTTCTTATATCTTTCTTTCTTTCTCCGTTAATTATACTACGTAGTTAGAACTTGAGAAGGCTTGAATTTAGAGCCCGTTTGGTAGCACGTAAATCGGTTGATTTGGTTGATTCCGCTAAAATTTATGAAGTTCTGGCTGAAGTGGCTGCATTGGCTAATTCTGCTGATTTAAGAAAAAAATATTTTTAAAGTATATTTTATTAATAAAATAGAGAAAAATATATATGTAAAATAGCTAAAATGGGCATCTACAATAATTTCAACCAATACAGCCATAAAAGTAACTCCAACCTTACCTTTTCTGCTTATTAAACAATTCAGCACGCGAAAGCAAAAGTTACGTGTTTGGTGAAAAAGTTGGATGATAAACCTGATAAGCCGAAAAACAGTGTTGCCAAACGGCCTCTTATTTTGTTCTTTATACTTCCCCTTGTCTGTCCACTAGTCCGGATTAGTTGCGCATAATTCTTGTAATTTCTAACTGTTTAAATATGCTCTTCTCATACATAAAAACAGTAGTGACTTTTCATTTGTTTTAGGGAAAAGGGTCAGATAAGCACCCGAACTTACATAAAAAGGTCAAATAAGCCCTTATATAGGAGACTCTATCCGACCGTCGCCATTTGGGGAGGTTCCCGATGGAATTTTTTGATGACCTTTTTTGAGCATCTTATTTATTATGTCTAGTTTACTCATACCAGATTTCAGATAAAACTTCAATTGGGAAGACATTCAAATGAATTCTTGAAGATAACTTTGCAATTAAAAACGCAGTTATCTTCAAGAATTCATTTGAATGCCTTCCCGATTGAATTGTTATCTGAAATTTGGTATGAGTAAACTAGACTTAATGAATAAGATTCTCAAAATATTTCATCAAATACTTCCACCGGGGAATGCCCCAAATGGCGATGGTCGGACAGAGCCTCCTATATAAGGGCTTATTTGACATTTTTATGTAAGATTGAGGGCCTATTTGACCTTTTTCCCTTTGTTTTAATTTAATGCTTTTTCAACTATGTCATTGAATGGCCTTGATTCATGAGTCTTCTTTTGTAGGTGTTGGGTGAGAGCCATTATAAAAGGTTTCTAAAAACTTTTCATAAGACTTCTGAATTCCATGAATAGCAAACCGGTAAACTATTGGTCTATTATACATACTAGTAAACTCAGCAGTGCCATGCACGATGGTTGAATTTTTCTTCAAATTTATTTGTGCTTACTAATTCAAATTACACTATCAATTGATGACAATATTTATCTCCATGGAATATTGATATAGCTCAAAGCAATAAACGAAACATACTTATAATATTATGGTTAAAAAAAGAGCACTAAGCATTACTTAAAAGATCAAAAACATCCAACAAATACTAAGAAACCATAACATTGTAAATATGCGTTTCATGTAATCCTAAACATTGTTGAGCACTTTTTGAATACAACATTCTGAATCTTATCAATGGCTCCTTCTTCATCAACACCAGTGTGATGCACGGTTGGTGAAATTTCGCGGGTATAATTAACATTATCCAAAATTTTAAATAAAAAACAAACAAACTTGTAATTTTAATTGAACTGTTTAGAATTATACTCCACACAATAATAAAACTTGACGTAAATGAAACATATAAAATACAATTTACTAATGATTATAGGGTAGTACATAATTTTTTTATAGCCCACAAAATAGTAAGTAACATGCAATATAAATATCATTTGAAAACAAATTACATTTCATGGCAAATGTTATGAAACACTTCTTTATACCTTCTGTCTTGCAGTAACCCTTAGCTTGTTAAAAGGGAAATTACCTTAAATAGGACAAAACGTTTATATATAATCCAAATAGGACTATCATGTTTTATTCCCAAAATAGGAGTAATTACTGTCATTTGACAGGACCAGACCTTAAGCATGACAATATTTTTCAAGCTTGACATTAGTTACGCCTATTTTGGCAATGAACACAGGGCAGTCCTATTTTGGAATTCTCATATTCTTTTACTTCTATTTCGGGATTTTTCCCTTATTCAAATCCTTCATTCCAGTAACTTTTTGACAATTTTTTTTTTTCATTTTCAAAGGTCTATATATGTTAAATGACCTTGAATTATGAGTCTTCTTTTGTAGGTGTTGGGTGTGAGCCATTATAAAAGGTTACCAAAAACTTTTCATAAAACTTCTCAATTCCGAATAGCTAGCAAACCGGTAAACTATTAATTAGTCTATTATACATATCAGCTTAGTTGGTAATTGCTTTAAATATATAAATTTGAGAAATTCAAAAACAGATTTGATAAGAAAAAGAAGCTCACCATTTGTATTTTTTATTGGATTACAAGCATACTTAAATTTTCATCGAAGATAAGTGCTTTAAAATACATGAAGCACGTTATGTGTTTGTAAATTGTCTCCATGACAGTTTTTACATTTCTTATTAATGATTTGCATTATTGTATCAAGCCCCTAATTGGGAGACAAATTTTGAAGAATTATGCAAGAAATGCTCAATACTTTTAACTAAAGACTATTAAAACACTTAGCTTCATTATTTTCCCATTCGGTTTAGTGATGTCAAGTGTTGGATTAAAATACTCAATAGTTCATCTTTCCCTGAAAGCAACACTTAGAGCCCGTTTGGAGAACTCTGTTTTCGGCTTATCAGGCTTATCAGCCAGCTTTTTCACCAAACACGTAACTTTTACTTTCGCGCGCTGAATTGTGTAATAAGCCGAAAAAGTAAGGTTGGAGTTACTTTTCTGGCTGTATTGGCTGAAGTTACTGTAGATGACCATTTTAGCTATTTTTACATATAATTTTTTCTTTAATTTATTAATAAAATATATTTTTAAAATATTTTTTTCTTAAATCAGCAGAATCAGCCAAAACAGCCACTCCAGCCAGAATATCATAAATTTCAGCAGAATCAGCCAAAACAGCCGATCTTGGTGCTACCAAACGGGCTCTTAATAGTCTATACACATTTTAGAAATTTTGAAGCAACACGTCATAGTTGCGGTATAGTAGAGTATGAAACACTTTTAGCCGCGCGTTTTATATTAAAACTAGTTTCTTCACGCGCGTTGCGCGATATGATAAATGCCCAATATAATATTTTTTACACCATTTTCACAAAGTTTTTTATTTACTGTGGATATACATAAGTCTAGTGATTCAATTCTGTTACAAAAGATTAGGAGGAAGAACATGAAATTGGAGCGAGTATATAAAGCAAAATCTAATGCAATGCACAGGCTTATCGATTAATAAGTACACATTCCAAATTTACTGTACCCATCATACAAATTTTTCAGGATATAACATTTTTATATTTTTTTAAACAAATGGGAAGGCTATGGAGCGAATACAAGAAATATAAATCAATAAACATATGCATGCAAAGATATAAGTAAGAGTTGATCATATATATTTTAACTCCTCAACCTGTCAACAGATAATGTAATATAAGTAAAGATGTGACTAAATACATTTAAATCTAGAGTCTTAATCTAGTATATGTTATTTATATGCTAACATAGTGTAATAGTGAATCAGAATATCAGGTTTGAATTAATATATAGTTTTCGATAATAGTGACATTTTTAGAAGATGAAACAATGACATCCATAATTTCAAGAGGTAGCACTCTTCAAAATCCGTTTATTTATAAGCAATGGACAATTCTTGTAGCACAATATTAAGGGTAACAAATTTAACAGATTGGTTCCACCAATAACAAACAAGAAAATCATAAATCATTAGCGGTTTAAGTTTTGACTATTTTCTAGACATACCAAAACAGCTCATTCGCACGGTTGGTCAACAAAAGCTCTGTTTCGAGAATGCCTTGAGGACTTTCTACACCAACAAGTGTTGTCTGGTCCATAACATTATCTACAATTCTTTGTGCCAAGATACTTCCAAATCATAGGTTGTGAAGCTCGCCTCTTCTGGAATTCAATTTGAAAACTGGACTTCCCTTTCCTGTTAGTTATCAACTGGCCACACAATTTCCTACTCTGGAGAAGAGTATAACTTCTGATTTTCAAGGTCTTATGTTCATCTTTTTCTTTCCCACTGGAGGCCTGTGGAGGAGATTTGTGTTTGCTGGAAGAGCCAGAGGAAGATACCTGTTCTTCTCGGAGACATGGTAGAATCCTGAAAGCTTTCTGGGCATTATCAATAATATAGTACAATCGGAGGAAGATGATAATTAGCTCTCGTGTGTAGTAACGACCAACTATAATCATATCACAACCTTAGCAGGGGCATTTTCGTTAGAGCTTCTGCTTCCATCTTCATGTAGCGGCATTTTGACTTTTAATCTTATATGTTTCTAAATCATGATGTACAAACAAGAGTCATACTTCTAGTCTGTTCAACATATAAAAATTGATTTGAGACAATGACTCAAATTACTCACAAAATTAATTCTTTTAATTTGAAATCTATATGTCGCAACTAACAATGATTTGACATCAATTGTCTAATAATACAAAAGCACATAGAAAAGGAAAAGTTAGCATAATATCTATCTCATTATGATAACATAAGGCTGTCACACACCGAAGTACCCCGTAGCATTTTAGTATACTTTCTGGTTATTTTTCCACTTTTTAACATAAGACTTGTGCAAAGACTTGTTTCTTTGCACTTAAAGTCTTATATGTTGTATTTAAATAGAAAATAGATTCAAAAGCAAATCTATTGTCTGCCGGAACATGTAAAAAATAGACGATGACAGAAGGATGTAAAAATAAGCATGAGTCAAATGAGCGTATACGAACCCTTAGATTTGAAAAAATGGCAAAATTAGATCGAAATATAGAAAGGGAAAATAATGCTCTCCATATCTAAATATTAACATCTCACATTAGTTTACTTGCTATTATACTAAAGTAGTTTAACTCTAGAAAAAATGGAAGATGAAATTGTTGTATTAAAGGGTAAGCTACACATAACTTGTGTGCATTATGTATAGGGTATATTAGTCTCATAGCAATTTCGAACCTTACGAAACTCTACGGGCCTGTTTACTAACAGAGATATTTTCCTGTTTTCTACTTCTGTTTTTCGTTCTCCAATTTTCTGTTTTTATTTTTCAGTTTTTCTATCTCCAATTTTCTGTTTCTATTTTTTAGTTTTCCATTTTCAAATTTGAAAACATGTTCATCAATTTTTTCACACAGTTCTCCAATTCCACACCTTTGACCCATACCTCTACCCTTACCACGATCTTACACTCTACCCATACTCCACCACAACCCTTCATACCCACCCATACCTACTCGTAGGGGTCAAAGTAGGGAAGTTATGGGTGAGGGTGGGGTAAGGGGTATGGTCGGGGTGGGGTGGTAAGGTCTAGGGGTTGGGTGGGGGTAGTGGGTGGGTTAGGGTTGTGGTTAGGGTTAAGGGTGGGGTAGTGGGTAGGGTTGGGGTAAGGTAGGGGGTTGGGATAGAATGGCGGTAGGGTGGGGTCGGGACCAGGGTGGGGCTGGGGTAGGGTGGGGGGTAGGATGACAGTAAGGGTGGGGGTAGTGGGTAGGGTTTGGGGTTGGGGTAAGGTAGGGGTAGGGTAAGGAGTTGGGATAGGGTGGCGGTAGGGTGGGGTCGGGACCAGGGTGGGGCCGGGATAGGGAAGGGGTGGGGGTGGGGGGGTAGGATGGCGGTAAGGGTGGGGGGTAGTGGGTAGGGTTCGGAGTTGGGGTAAGGTAGGGAGTTGGGATAAGATGGCGGTAAGGTGGGGCCGAGGTAGGGTAGGGTGGGGTGGGGGGTAGGATGGCGGTACGAGGGTGGGGGTAGGATGGCAGTGGGGTGGGGCCGAGGTAGGAGGCATGTGATAAGGGGTAAGGTAGGGGTAAGTGGTAATATACGAGGGGTGGGGGTAGGGTAGGGTGGGTCGGGGTGGGGTCGAGGTGGTAGGGGGTGGCGGTAGGGTAGGGTGGATCGAGGTGGGGTCGAGGTGGTAGGGGGTGCCGGTAAGGTAGGGTGAATCGGGGTGGGGCCGAGGTCGGGGCATGTGGTGGGGGGTGGGGTAAGGTTATTATAGGGAAAAATGGGTACGCGGGGTTGGGGTTGGGTGGGTAGGGTAGGGGTAAGGGGTAAGGTACGAGGATGGAGGTACCGGAATGGAATCGACATCGGAGCGGGACCGGACCCACCACTAGGTGTAAGTATGCAAATTCATTGCAAAGGCACTGTAGCATCTGCGTTTTCCAAATTTGGAAAACTAGTAAAAGTCACTTCTCCAAATCATTAAGGAAAAGAGAGACATGTTTCATTTTTTCCGTTTTGGAAAACGATTTGGTAAACGCGTTTTTCTTTTTTCCTTTCTCCAGTTTTCCAGGAATTTCTTTGGTAAACACGTTTCCTGTTTTCTGTTTTCCAGTTTTCCAGTTTTCTGGAAAACTGGAAAATATTTCTGTTAGTAAACAGGCCCTACCTATCTATGTTTTTTATATTATAGATTTGGTATATAAAGAAATTATATGCCATGAATAAGATTTGAACTGGTGACACAAGGATTTTCAGTCCTCTGCTCTACCAGCTGAGTAATCCTATCAAAATTTTATTATTATTTTCAATGTTCTACTTTAATGATTTCCCATTGTTTTACAAAACTCTCAAAGGACTCATGATAGGAGAGTAAAAGAGCTCAAGCATACTTGTGTTAGCAAATCAATGATTTCTAGTAGTCATCTCCAAGATGTTATTAGCAAATCAATGTTTTTCAAAAAATTACATTCTCTGTAAATGGTTTTGATAACGGAAGATTTCATTAGTTTATTTTCAAAATCAAACATATAAAAGTTGAAACAGATAGAACACCTAATTAACAAAAAAAGGCTAGGAGTGATACAATATTTATTCGTAGTATTTGTACCATTTAACAAAAATTAAAGAAATGTTAATCGGAATGTCACACATGTACACACATGCCAGAATAATTGATTCATATAGCATCTTAAAACATGATTTGTTAAATTAAAGATCTAAATTTGAAAAACATAGTAAAATGTATTAAAACTGATTATATGAACGTAAAAAGAGTTGAAACATATTCCTAAATATACTACTACCAACCAAAGGAAAAGGTGGAGAAAGAGATTAACTCTATTTTTTAAAAGCATTCCTAATTTGCTCTTTCTTCACAAAATACATTACTAATCAGCCTACCTTGTATTTCAGACCACTCTTTAAACTACCAGACTATACATTATGTTTCAAATACTTTTTTTTAAAAAAGAGCTTTCAAAGCTTTTTTGTGTTGGAACAAACACACAGTAGATATTAAGCAACTATCTTGGTCCGTTTCAAAGGTTATTATGATTTAGTGTATATGTGATTACTTACACTTTCAAAGGTTTCAGATGTTGGAGCTAATGTGCTTTAAGTTAACAACATAAAAATCATAATATGCCAAATCTTACTAAACCGTAAGTCTTTATTCTTCATAACAGGAGGTTTGAGTGAAACTGAGATAAATAGTGAACATTTTTAAGGTTGCTAATTAAACAGAAGCCATTTTCTATACTACTCCGGTAAGTTGTCAGTGATTGAAAATATAATGTTTAATAAGCTATTAATAATAACCAAAACCAATGAGATTAGAGTAGGTTTAGCAGGAAGTCACTCCCAAGTCCCATTAACAAAGTATAATAAAAAATGTCAATACTAACCAATGAAGTAGATGGATCATGGATATAGTTCTCATCCATGTGTCTTTAGTTCAGATCACATTGACCTTGTCAAGATTTGTCTTTTAAGTCTGCAAATATTTTCCTCAACTGAACCATTTGAAGAAATTGACTATTAATATTTAATATTTGAGGAAGTTGATAACCCTTCTCATACTCACCTTTAATCTCCTGAAGTTGATTCTATCATTGTAGTAGACTTTAATGTTAATCTTTGATGGATCTCTGTCTTTATGGGCGTATATCAGAAGAGCATATTTGACATCCAAAAAAGGTAATATACCTAGACAGTGATTAAATAACTATAACAGTAGAGCTCATATACTTCAGGTAATATACCCGAACAATACAAGTATTTGCATGGCATTGGGATTAAGTAAGAAACTGAGAAGTGAGATCAGTAATGATAAAAAGTACGAGGTAAGAAAACGTGGGTTTGGTAAATAGAAACAAAATAGATCATTAGAGTTTCAAAGAAACCCATCCCAAAAATCGTGTGAGAACTACGAGGCAAAAATGCTTTTGCACTCTAGTGAATTTGATACAATTCTCAAAGCATTTCCATCATTAGTTTAACTTAGTTTAAAAATAGTGTTTTTCAGAGTATTTTTCTTGTAAAAAAATATAACTTAGAGGTAACTCTATTTTACTCAGCCAACTATTTTACTCAGAAAAAGAAGTATATGCATCAACTTTGTGGAAGAGTATGTTCCTGGAGTTCATTATACCAAGTAAGTAAACCAATTTACTTTTAAAATGAATGCCCACTTTATTATAATGGCATTGTTTTCAATGAATTTTTATGTGAAAAAGATTAGTTGGCGTTGTTAGGAGGAGTGACAGATTTATTTACTTAGATTTAGATTTCTCTAAAGTTTAGTTGTGAAGAAATATTTGTTCAAAAGGGTAAACAAATTAAATCTTTTTCATGATTAGTACTTTTAGGAATTTTCACAAACAGCTTCTATGCAATATAATCAGCCAAAAAAGCTTTACACTTGTAGTCTTGGAGCACTTAGGCAAAGGATGATATGGAGGCAACACCATCATATTAGCTTACCATAGACCCAACATAAATTTACCTATATTCTGACCATAATGTACTATAAGCACAGCTTGGTAAAAAAACAGATTGCAAACAATAGGCACTTTATGATTTCAGTATATCACTTGTAGAATCATTCTGTAATGTTAATTATATAATACAACAAGATAATGATATCTGAGAGCTTCATCCGCTCTAGATAATGATATCTGAGCATCATCCACAATGCATTCATATCACTGAGACGAATTGAATCGAATTGGCAAAACATTTGACAACAAAAATGCAAATAAAGTCAACTTCAACAAGGTTTAAAAATCAGAAAGGCTAAATTACCTACAGGAGAAGATAACCAGGAGCCAATTGTTTTTTTCTGCGATCAGTGGCGTCCTCTTGAAGATTCGATAACCAGGTCCGCTTGGTGCTTCGTTTCCTTGATCGGTCGGTCGGTGCACACGACGGGTGAGACCAGTCGGAGTCTCATATTGTTTGCGATAGCCGTGACATCTAATGTACGAGATCAATTTGTCTAGACCGTGAAGTAGCTGAATAGTGTTACCGATCAGGTTATCTACCAAATATACAAGAAGAGATAACGAGAAACAGTACAAATTACAAGTTCGAACTTAAGTTCACTAGAGAGGAATTGGGGAAGAAGAATTCTTTATTCATGGCATGAAACGTTCAGAGGTGTACAATCCAGTATATATGTAGCTCAGATTACAGTTAGAAGCTAGCTAACTCTAACTAACTCCTAACTAATCACTCCAGCTGGCTGATTACAGTATATCTCTATTTACACGTATAACCCATATATGCTAACTATACTGGCTGAGCTGGCAGCTTTATCTTCTGACTGTATCAATACTTCCCCCTCCAAAACTGACTTGTCCTCAAGTCATGTTGTTATAGAAATCAGGATAGACTGCTTTAATAAAATCTGACCATTCCCACGTTGCCTCTTCCACACCTTGTCCTTCCCATTGAACCAAAAATTTGACTCTAGCCATATTCCCATGCTGCACAAGTTGTCTCTCCAATATGGCAGTAGGCTTAACCATACTATCGTGTGACAACCCTTGCAGCCATGTAGGTATATGTGGCTTCTTTGGCAGCTCTCCTCTAAATTGTTTCAACTGAGATACATGAAAGGTGTGATGTATTTTGGCTTCTTTTGGCAACACCGATAGGCTACCTTCCCCACCACCTTTCCTATTTGAAATGGTCCATAATATTTAGGGGCCAGTTTATCATTTATCCTCTGTTCCACAGAATTCTGCCTATAGGATTGCAGCTTCAGCCATACCCAATCTCCAATTTCAAAATGTCTTTCAGATCTATGCTTGTCAGCTTGAACCCTCATTCTGTTTTGTGCCTTCAGTAAATGTGATTTGAGTACCTTAATCATAGCTTCCCTTTGTTGCAAGGATCTATCTACTGCCTCTACTTTGGTTTCCCCAGCCATATAGGGTAAGTGTAAAGGTGGAGGCTGACAGTAGACTGCTTCATAAGGTGTCATCTTGATAGAAGAATGAAAGGATGTATTGTACCACCATTCAGCCAAAGATATCCACTTACACCAATCCTTAGGTTTTTCACTGCACATACACCTAAGGTAATTTTCAAGGCATCTATTAACTACTTCTGTTTGCCCATCTGTCTGTGGGTGATAAGAAGTAGATAATAGCAGATCCACTCCTTGAATATCAAATAAAGCAGTCCAAAAAGTGCTGAGGAATATAGAACCCCTATCACTGATAATTGTCCTTGGCCACCCATGCAATTTAAAAACATTATTCAAGTAGACCTGAGCTACCTCAACTGCTGAAAAAGGATGTTTTAGTGGCATGAAATGAGCATATTTACTCAACCTATCCACCACCACAAAAATGACATCCTTGTCACAAGATTTAGGTAATCCTTCAATGAAATCCATCGAGATATCCATCCAAACACCTTCAGGAATAGGTAATGGTTGAATCTTGCCAGGGTAAGCAGCCGTGTCATATTTACATGCCTGACAGACTGTGCAAGCTCTTATAAAGGTTTGGACAGATTTGTTCAATCCCTTCCAACAAAACATATTATGGATTCTTTGAATGGTTGCATCCCTTCCTGAATGACCACCCACGGATGAAGCATGTGCCCACTGCAGTATCTTCCCTCTCACTATCTCATCCTGCCCTATCAAGATTCTCCCTTTTTTCTTGATCAATTCCCCATTCAATTCATAAACATCATCTTTCAAACCAGGACTTGACTTCAATCTGACAATAAGCTGCTGTATCCAATCATCTTTTTCATAACTCTTCTTGATCATATCTGAAAGGTTAGAATTAATAGATGACAAAGCTAAGCATAATAACTCAGCTCCTGTTACTCTAGATAGAGCATCAGCCACCTTGTTCTCCATCTCACTTTTATATTGAATCTCATATCTAAACCCCATCAGTTTAGATAACCAGAATTGCTGAAATGGTGTTGATATCTTTTGTTCCAATAGCCATTTTAGACTTTTCTGGTCAGTTTTGATTACAAATGATTGACCAAAGAGGTATTGCTCCCACTTCTGTACTGCAAAGACTAAAGCCAATAGCTCTTTTTCATAAACTGATAACTTCTGCCATTTAGTACCCAGGGTTTTGCTAATAAAAGCCAAAGGATGCCCTTCTTGCATTAAAACTGCTCCTATGCCTTGGTTAGAAGAATCAGTCTCCACCACAAATTGCTTATTGAAGTCAGGTAAAGCTAGTACTGGGGCAGTAGTTAAGGCTCTTTTTAGCTCCTCAAATGCCATTGTAGCCTCACAATTCCACTGAAATGGTCCCTTCTTTAATAATTGAGTAAGAGGTTTAGCTATGTGAGCATATCCTCTAATGAATTTCCTGTAGTAGCCTGCCAGCCCTAAGAAGCTTCTGAGTTGTTTGAGGGACGCAGGAATAGGCCACTTCTTGATAGAGTCAATTTTCCTGGGATCAGTTTGTACTCCTTCTCCAGAAATATAATGTCCCAAATATTCAACTTTTTCAATGCCAAATGCACATTTACTCATCTTGGCATAAAGCTGATGTTCCCTTAATACTTCAAATGCTTGTTGTAAGTGTTTCTTGTGTGTCTCCAGATCCACACTATACACTAAGATATCATCAAAAAAGATCAATACAAATTTTCTTAGAAATTCCTTGAAAATATGATTCATAAAAGCTTGGAATGTAGCAGGTGCATTAGTTAGCCCAAAAGGCATAACTAGAAACTCAAAATGTCCATAATGAGTTTTAAAAGCAGTTTTAAAAATATCATCCTTATGAACCGTTATCTGATGATAACCTGCCCTAAGATCAATTTTTGAAAAGATTTTAGCCCCAGCCAATTCATCAATTAACTCATCTATAACTGGTATGGGAAACTTATCTTTGATAGTTTGATCATTCAGTGCTCTATAATCAGTACACAGTCTCCAATCTCCATCTTTTCTTCCCACTAGAACCACAGGTGAAGCATAAGGGGAAGCACTGGGTTGTATGGCTGCCTTGTCCAACAATTCTTTGACTTTCTTCTCAATCACATCTTTCTGCTTCAATGGGTACCTATAAGGTCTCACATTGACTGGTTGAGCTCCATCTTTGACAGGTATCCTATGGTCAAATATTCCCCTGCTAGGTGGTAAACCTTGAGGTTCTTTAAATACATCCTCATATTGCAGAATCAGAGTCTTCAGGCAATCTGGAATAATTTGAATGCTGGAATCATGGGTTATATCTTCCTCTTGCACCTCTGCATCCCTTGATTTATCCTGATAATGAATCATATATAACTGGGTCACCTGACTGAGTTGCTTTTTTGTTCCTTGCATTTCTTTCATTTTCCCCATTTTCTGCCCTCTTAAAACCACTTGTTGCCCATGATATTTAAACTTCATGTAAAGCTCCTGAAAGTTCCAATTAATCTCTCCCAATGTACTGAGCCATTGAATACCTAACACCATGTCATATCCCCCCAATGGTAATATCATGATGTCATCATGGAAATAAGTATTTTGCATTTTCCATGTGAACTTCTTGCATATGTAATGACATTCTGTTTGGGATCCATCTGCCACTGCCACAGATAATGAATTAACTTCCTCCAATTTACACCCTAACTTCTTAGCCATTCTCAAACTTAAGAAGTTATGTGTACTTCCTGAATCCACTAGGATCAATATTTTCTTCCTGTCAACATAGCCATGCAACCTCATTGTTCTATAATAAGAAAATCCATTCATAGCATGAAAGGAAATCAATGGTTCCTCCTTATGCAGAACATTTTCATTAGTATTCACCTGCTCTAGCCCCTCTTCATAGTTTTCTTCATCAGTTGTTTCACCTTTAATTTCTACTAGAAACAGTTGTGTGCCCTTATGATTGCATATGTGTTCCTTAGTGTATGGCTGATCACAGTAATAACATAACCCTCTTGCTCTTTTTTCAGCCCTTTCTCCTGCTGAAACAAACTTCCTAGGTGTAGGCATAGCAGTAGTTTTAGGTGGATTAACTATTACTTTGGAATTCTGAACAGGTGTGGGTAATAGAGGTTTATTCAGAACTGCCTTTTGTGAATTTCCATATTTAGCTTGTGTTGTAATGGCTTCTACGGTGTCCTCCTGCAACCTAGCAAACCCTATGGCTTCTGCCATACTCCTGGGCTTGAAAGCTTTCACAAAGGATTTTAGAGTTGGCTTCAGAGCAGCCAAGAAACAATCCAAGAAATAATCTGAAGGCAATTTTGGATTTCTTTGTAGCATAGCAGCTTTCAATGTTTCAAACTCATCAACAAAATTTTCCAAAGATCCTGTTTGTCTCAGATTATTAAACCTTTCCACCACTTTGTTATTCAGATTATCAGCAAATCTAGCACTAATATCAATAGTAAATTGTTTCCATTTTAGGCTTTTTCTAGATCCCACATAATGCCCAAACCAATTTGCTGCACGACCTTCCAGATAAAGTGAAGCTAAATTAACTCTCTGATTGTTAGGTATGTTACAAAGTGTAAAATACCTTTCGCATCTCTGAATCCACAGCTTCACATCTCCTCCTTCGAATACTGGAAATTCCACTTTAGGAGCAAATCTGAAAGGGTGTTGATTAGATACTGTCAATTTGCCTCCTTCTTCATCCATCTCATCTTCCGAAGAAGATTCCGCTTCATCTTTCAAGTACTTTCCTTCATCCTCATCGTTGATAGTGATTTTGTCCTTCTGCATCTCCACCATCTTCTTCATTATTTTACTCATCATGTCCATCAGAAGCTTGTTTTGATTCTCAAGCTTTAGGTCAAATTCCTGTTGAATGGTCCGAAGAGCCTCGTCCATCTCTGAATTCGAATTCCTTGTCTGCACCATCTCAATTAATCACTCAATTCGAGGGATTCAGGTCGTTGAGCTCTGATACCAATGTTACCGATCAGGTTATCTACCAAATATACAAGAAGAGATAACGAGAAACAGTACAAATTACAAGTTCGAACTTAAGTTCACTAGAGAGGAATTGGGGAAGAATAATTCTTTATTCATGGCATGAAACGTTCAGAGGTGTACAATCCAGTATATATGTAGCTCAGATTACAGTTAGAAGCTAGCTAACTCTAACTAACTCCTAACTAATCACTCCAGCTGGCTGATTACAGTATATCTCTATTTACACGTATA